GGCGGGGGGAGCAGCTGGGGTGAGGGGCGGTGGGGGGAGCAGCTGGGGTGAGGGGTGGGGGGAGCAGCTGGAGTGAGGGGGCGGAGGGGGAGCAGCTGGGGGAGCGGCAGGCGGGTCACACACCATGGGGAAGGGGGCTGGGTTGCAATGGGGAGAAGGTTGGGTTGGACCTGAAGAGCCCTGGGGGTCTGAGCAGGAGAGGGATGGGGCCTAGCGGGGTCTGGACAAAGGATGAGACAGAGGAGGAAGTGTGAGCCCTCTTGCACAAGCGTGCACACACACACACGCACACACACTGCCCACAGGAATGCTCTTAAAGAAAATGTTTTCACCACCGGCCACTTGCAAATACTCCAGAAGCCCCACCCCGTTGGCCTCAGTCCTGGGAGAAAAACCACAGGTTTCCACTCTTTCCCTGTGGTGGGAAGGACTGGGCCTCTGCAGGGATGCCACTGAGCCCCGATCTGTCCCCCCTCGCCTCCTCCAGTCCCTGGATCTCTCCCAGGAGAGGGATCTCCCAAGGAGGAGGGAGTGGAAGCAGGAATGAGGGAGGGTGGGGGCCAAGAGGCCTGTCTAGTCCCTACTCTGTACCGAATCTGTGCCGCGCAGGCTCACAGTCGATCTTCAATAAATGTTCGATGGAGGGACCGACAGATGGATGGGAGGGTGTGCAGACAGATGGGAAGGTGGGTGCGTGGGTGGATGGATAGACGGATGAGAGAGAGGGAAGGTGGGTGGGTGGATGGATGGGTAGGTGGATGGGTGGATGGATGTGTAGGTGGGTGGATGGGTGGGTGGATAGGTGGGTGGATGGGTGGATGGGTGGGTGGATGGGTGGGTGGATGGGTGGGTGGATGCGTGGATGGGTGGGTGGGTGGATGGTTAGAATTTGACCCTGAGAACACTGATCTTGGGAGAAACCATATGGCCATCATGATTTCGAGCTCAGTCACCCAGGCTACTGCCGTCCACCTTTCCCCTGCACCCCTCTCCATCGTCCAGCCTGGCTTCCACGCCCCACAGAGACGCAGAGCTCACAACCGGCCCATATGCCACGGGACTCAGGCAGCAACGCTTCCTTCAGAACAGCTGAACCTCCGGGGTGGTACATGTGACTCTGCATTGGAAGGAATCCCATCCCCCTTCCCCTCCGGTCACGAGAGGCCCCGGGTCCTCTTTGCCACTCCAGCGCCCTCAGTTCCCTTACGGCAGTTGTGAAGGCGCACCTCACAGACCGGATTCATCCACCAACATGTTGTGTTTGGTTAACAGAATTTTCCTATAAACAAACTGAACTGGGGAGCCACACAAAAGTCTAGATCTCCCTCATCTCTTCTTGAAAATGGAGAGAATCTGGCTCCCTGGGAGCCTGTGGTCCCTCCCGCCAGCCCTGAGCAGCCGAGAAGTCACAGCTGCCCCCTTATCCAGGAACAAGCCAGGGCCCTGTGGCCTCTGGTCCCATTTGTACTGGTTTTTTCCTTAATGCGGAGAACCATTTCCCTGTATATATATTTCTATGAAAAATATATGATGAAAAATAAACCACAAGAACTCCAACAAATCCCAAGAAGGCCATGAGATTTCACACTGTGGAAGTGAAGGCCCTTCCCAAGGCCACCTGCACATCAAAGTGACACAGAACCTGGTGGAAGATAGAATACGTCATCATGTGTTAACACCACGTGACCTCCAGGTGATGCCAGGAGTCACGAAGAACAATAGGGCCAGACTAGAGCTGGGTAAAGGGAGGGCTGTCAGACTAGGCGGGGAGGGGCCGGGAGGTCAGGAAAGGCCTCTCTGAGGAGGTGACACTGGGGACGGGACTGAAGTGAGTGGAGAGCCACGGAGACATGTAGGGAACAGCATTCTCAGGCAAGGGAACAGAAACTGCAAAGGCCTTGGGGGGGGAGTGTGTAGGGCTAGGCAGATCTTGCAGGATCCTGTGGGCAGGGTTAGAACTCCAGACGGGACTCTGAGTGAGGCAGGGGTGTCACAGGACAGGCTGGGAGGCGTAAGTGGCGGCATCTCGTGGTTTGGGGGCACGTGACTCTGCACCTCCTGTCATCCAACCCTCCCGTCCCCTTCCCGTCTCAGGGGCTGCAGACGGCACTAACACGGCCCGAGTCCAGCAAGCCAGGAAGCAGGTGCTCGAGCCCAGGCCTCAGACCCCGAAGACACAGGGGTCCTTACGTCTGCCATGGGCCCGGACAGCCCCAGGTGCCACCACACTGTCCTCACTTCCCCCAACGCCAGGCTTTTCCTCCCTGACTCCTCTCACACGAGGACACAGGGTCACGGGCGCCAGGACACGTGGGAGCCGCCCGGCCGGGAACCTGCTGAGTGAGTGGATTTAGCTGCTCCTCTCTGGACCCCAGTCTCCCCATCACAAGAGGACAAGGCGGGCCAGACCAGCGTCACCCGGATGGATTACAGCCCCCGGCGGTGTGGACGCCACTCCAGGGAGACAGGAGAAAACCGGGGACCACTGACATGTCAAGGTCGTGCTGGAAAGCACAGGCCCTGCCAGGACCCCAGCGATGGGCCTCTGGGCAAATGCCTTAGGCTCTGCAGGCCTCAGCTTTCTCATCTGTCAAATGGGGTTTGGACAGTCCCAGCCTCGGAGAAGTGCCGTGAGGGCGAAATGGCGTAACAGCTAGAGCCCACACCGGGAGCACCTACACGGGGTCATAAGCTTGCCTGGGTGCCCGTGTGTGTCAGCGAAGGCCTGTCCTTATCCTGAAACTGTGTCTCCAGTTTTGCTGCAGCGGCTGAAATGAGCTTTGGTTTATGGAATGCTGGGCAGCTAACGGCACCACCAGCCATCAGCGGGCGCCCTCACGCCTCTCCCCCCTCGCGGCCTGCACCCACGGTCCCCGCCCCCACCCCAATCAAATCCTCAGCAGGCCCTGTCTGCTCTGTCCCCCAGAACGACCCCACTGTGGCCCTCCCCCCGTCACCCCTGGGTCCAGGCCCCTGGTCTCTCCCCTGAGCAACTGTAACAGCCTCCCTTCAGGCCCTCCGGCCTCTCCTGCTGCACGCCCGCCTCAGGTCAGTCTCTGTCCGCAGCCAGAGAGAGCAGTGAAGCCCAAGTCCACTCACGTCGGGCCCCTGCTTAACCCCCCACCCACCCCCACCCCCGGGGTCACTCATCCTACTGAGAATAAATTCCAAAGCCTTGCACGGCCTCGAGGCTCTGTGAGACTTGCTTTCCGCCAAGCGCTCTGACTCATCGTAACCCCGCTGCCTGGGTTCGTGGCGCTCAGCCACGCTGGCCAGCCGCCCGAGCTTCCTCCTACCTCCGCGACTCGGCACCTGCTGGTCCCTCGGCCTACAGACATGCCATGTGGGGACCCGGAGCCAGCCCCCGACTCCGAGCCCAGACCCTCAGACAGAGCTCTTACTTTCATTCTGGTTCAAAGGGCTGCCCGGACGCATCACCCCATCAGCTGATCTCTGCTGTCCGTATCTGTCACCCTCCGACACAACCGCCTTTATTTACTGGCTCATCATCTGTCAGCCCTGTGAGTTTCAGGCTGTTGTGTGTCCTTCCCCTGCCGTGTGCCCAGTGCCTGGAACAGAATCTGGCACTGCTGAAGGCGGGAACGTTAGATGGTGCAGTTTCTACTACAAGTTTACAAGTTCTGATAAAAAGTTGAAGTCTGGAGTTGGTCTCCCCAACGTTTTGTTTTCCTGGTCTGTGACGTCTAAGGTTTGGAAGCCACAGGACAAAGATGGTCTGAAACCGGGTTTTGCCACGCCCTCTCTGGCCAGCTGGCGGGGCCCCTTTCCTGACTTGCGCCTCCTTTGCTACTCACAGCATGAGCCGGGCTCACACCTGGGGTCCCAGATACAACAGGGCATCTTGTGGCCTTTTCTCCTGAGCGTCCCACACTGCTTCCCCACCCACGAAGTCGGCAGGTTTCCTGAGGCCACTAAAAATTGCTTAGTGCTGGGCTCCACTCCCCACAAGGGAGCGCACCGGCTCACCTGAGCAGGAAGCTGTAGGAGAATTCGAGGAGACCTATCTCGTGCCAGCCGCCGTCTGTGGCTGTGATGTCGCCCAGCAGGACAGTGTGGAGGTTGGTGTCCATGGCCTCTGTGAGCGCTTGGAGGTCCTTGTGCAGGAGGGTCCTGGGGCACAGAACAAAGAAAGAGCACAGCTTTCAGCAGGAAACGTATGCCCATAGGCACCCCCCTTCCCGACGCTCAGGGTCTCAGGGCTCCAGGTCCTCCCTGGCAATGGGGGCCCGTGGACAACGGGCTTACCCTCGATGGTATTACTATTATTATCGTCATCAATGACCATGAGAGCTACTCTTCATGGTGCTCAGTGCCATGATCCCCTTTCATCTTTTGACAGCTCTAGGGACTCACAGTTGCTATGATGAGCCTATTTTATTGACATAAAAACTCAGAGACAAGAGAGGAAGGGACTTTCCTGAGGTGACCCAGCCAGTAAGTGACAACAGCTGGGATTAAAAATCTGGCCTGCCCAAGTCCAAAACCTGAATTCCTAAGCGTGCCAGTCTGTCCCTCCTCGGGGCACACGAGCTTGGATTAGGAGCCCACAGACGTCTGGAAAGGACAGAAACAGCAGGCCAACCCTTCCTCCTGGAAATCCAAAATTAGGGACAACTGTTTGGATAGAGTGTCCCCTGACCGAGGGCTGCCAGGTAGGACACGACCCTGAGGGACCCTGAGGGACCCTGATGCAGCTGTTCTCTAGTCCCCACTCCAAGCACCTGATGGAGACAGCAGCCCTTAAGAGATGTGTGAGCCATGCCCAGTCGACAACATGCTGGCTTGTGAGAAATTTCCAGAAACTCGTAGGGCAGACACTGGAGGAAGGAGGGGTCCTCCTTGGGTAGGAGGGTAGAATGCAGTGAACTGGGGAGTCTCATTGCTAATGGGTCCTAGTATGCCAGGACCTAGGACACCTGGGCTCAGAAATACTCCGAGCAGCCATCTCACTGAGCCAAGGTCAGGCTGGGCATTGCCTCTCATCAGCGTTCACCTCATACTCTGGCCTTTCCTCGGCTTCAGCGGCCCTGCAAACCCCAGTCTTGGAGAAGCTTCTCCTAACCCCGGAGGCTGCCCTTCCTGGAGACAGACCACTAAGGGTTCCCATCAGACTGCATGAACTCCAGGGGTGGACCCAGTTTTATTTCCTCAGCATCTCAGCGGGAGGAGACTGGGCTGTGGGGTCTGCAGGCCTGGGTTCAAATCTCAGCTGTGCCACTTTAGTGGCAGATCATGGGTACATCACTTCTCTCCCGAGTCTGTTTGCTCAACTGTAAAGTAAGGACACAAATATCCACCTCTTGAGGCAGAGCCATTGCACAGAGATGGAAGGGTTCCTATCAAACACCCAGCAAGTGGCGGGCATCTTCAAACGGTGACTGGCATCATTCTGCGCCCCCTACATCTAGACCAGTGTAAAGAAGGTTCCTCAGATATTTGCAAAAGTAATGGAAGCAAAGTAAATGTGCTCACATGTCCTCTTGTTGATATGATTCCTTCTGTTCCAGGACCTACGTCACTTCCTTGCTGTGTGACCCAGGGCAAGTCACTGCTCTTTTCTGAGCCCCAGTGTCCTTGTCCATAAAGCAGGGCTGTAAGTCACTCACCCTCCAGCACTGTCACAAAGACTAATGAGACCACAGGGTATGGACTCAACACTATTAATCACCCCACCCACATCCCTTCCTTTAACAGATGAGGAAAGAGAGGCCCAGAGAGGGCAAGGGATTTGCCCAGAGTCACACAGCTAGGAAGTGGTGGAGCTGGGAGTTGACTCTAGGTCTGTCTGACCCAAACCCTGGGCTCCTCCTACTGAAATCAGACCTGTCTCCTGAAAGAAATAAAGATGAGAAGTGCCTTTCTTCAGCCCAATTCGTTGGGGCTGTTTTTCGGTTTTTGGGTTTGTTTTTTTTTTTTTTTGGTCTGTCTTCTCAAAACAAATGTCTTTACTGGATGCCTGGTGTGGACACAAACCCAAGCCACCCAGCACCTGGGCTTAGCAGGCAGAGGCAGATCACGCCCTCCCCCGCCCACCCACAGGCCCCGTCCTGAGCCACTCACGGTTTCATCTTGGCCTTTTCATCGCTGGGGCTGTAATGTGGGAGCTGCAGGTCAAAAATCCTCTCCATGAGGAAGACGGCGTAGGGGTGGAAGTCCAGCTTGGTGCGAGGCTCCCACACCACTGCGTCATAGGAGTGGGGGTCCAGGAGGACAGTGACATACCTGCCCCCCACCAGCACCTGTGGGAATGTCCGCAGGGATGAGGCGAGGAGAGAAGGGCTATAAACGTTAGCCCTGGATGGTGGTCAGGGGCCTACCCTGTGCCAGGCACTGACACCCCCCATGACTGCCTGTGAGGTGGGGACCACTTAGAGCTGAAAACTGAGGCTGACGGAAGGTAGAGGATGTGCCCAAGGTCAAGCAGCTGAGACATGGCAGAGAAAGGCCTCGCATTCAGCACTTTTCTGTACCAAATGTCATGCTCTCAACCCCTCACTCTTCAGTACGTGCCATTATCATCTCGGTCATTGTCACATCCTCAGTGGCCAGGAGAGAGTCTGCCACAGAAGGCAGCAAATGGATGTTATGTGTGTCGTGGGTGGAGAGACCAGATGGAAGAGGTGGACAGATGGATGGATGCTGTCGGGTCAATGCTAGTGAATGTGCCAGCAACACCCGCTTCTCCGGGAGGCTGAGCTCAGAGTGTAGCCTGTGCCCAGGTGGGGAAAAGAGAGAGAGCTAGAATCCTGTAATTAACCAAGGAAAGGGCATTTCCCCTCAAATGTCTGTGTTGAGGGGAGTGATCACACACTTCTACACACCCACTCAATGCCTTGGCCCTATTTCCAAAGTGGGATCTGGGGGTCATGTTAATCAAACTCTCTTATAAGATGGAGGCCAATATCCAAGAGAGAATCCTACTGCATGGATCGTTAGATGGGTGGGTAAACGGAAGGACAGCATCAGTGAAGGTATGTTGGGTGGAAAGATGAATGGGTGAGGAGGTTAGACGGAAGCAGAAAGTATGGATGAACGTTGGGAACCTGATGGCAGGATTCTAAGCAGATACTGGGTAAAAGGACTGAGGGACGGTGTTGGATGGGTGGAATCTGAAAGGGTAACGTGGAAGGTGGATGGGTGTGGTGATTGTCTGGGTGCTGAAGGATGGATCATGGATGGATGGATGGCTGGGTGGCTGGGTGGGTGGATGGATGGATGGATGAATGCATGGATGGATGGGTGGGTGGATGGATGGATGGATGGGTGGATGGATGGATGGGTAGGTGGATGGATGGATGGATGATGGATGGGTGGGTGGATGGATGGATGGATGA